TTCGAAAGCACGTGCACAATATTGGGATGAGACATCTTCGGGATTTGCACGGATGATAATTCTAGGGGGAGTATGTGCGGCTGTACTCTTTTTCCCTTATCTAGGTTTTTTTCCCACAGGGTTTTTCCAGATAAGGTTTTTAACGAGGCAGCATTATCGCACATTTAATAGTGGTAATTCCAAGGGGGAGTATTGTAAATAGTGGAATCTACCACTAGTCATTTATATTATTATATTAGAGTGTCTTAAACTGTGTGCCAAACTTAGCCTATAAAAGGCAAGTGATACATTGCAAAGTTATGTACGAAAAAGAAGTGAAAGAAAGGAACAGTTTGAGTTCTATCCGGTTTTTATACATTGTGTTCTTTATATTCCCCGTATTTCATAACAATTATTTCATATAACAAGTGTGCATTGTTATATGAAATGCAAACACAAGGAAAAACAGTGAATCAAAATGGATTGAACAAAGAAAGATCAACTGAACCAAGCCATATATAATTAATTAAGCAAATCAAAATAACATAACTTAGAACATGAGTGCCTTGAATTTTCTCCTAGCAAAACCAACATAATCACTTATACTCCAAGGTCTAAAACAACTCAAATAACTCCCATTAAAGCTCGGCTTAGAAGATACCGACGAAAAAGACGATAAAGAAGACGATCGTCTGAAAGAAGCCTCCGAGTACTCTACATTCTTCGCATTTTCATTAGTTTCATTCTTTTTTCTCCTCCAAAGTCGAGCCCTTTTCCAAGTCGACCGGTTCTTATCCTTCTCCTCGTCTTCTAGAAGCTTCGGCCGTGGCAGGGAGAGGCTCTGCATAGCCGGTGGAGGGCTCGGAGGCGGTATGAGCTCATTTTCTGGCGGGTTTTTTGGTGTTCCCGGTTGCAATTCCCATCCGAACGGGACACTCGCCGGAGTTTGTCCATTTTCCAAGGGACCCGAAAACTTTTCTAATGCTGAGGCCCTCGAAAAGATCCTATCGTCCAACGAGTCGCAACCAAATGGGCCATCGTCATCAATAGCCGACGAAGAATCTAAAACACGACTATTCGACGAAAAAGTCGAGAGAGAAGAACTTGAGGAAAAGCTCGAACGCACAAAAACCGAGCTCATTCGCTTTTTCTTACGACGAGTAGTAGTACTCGATTTGCCTAGTGAGCCCATCTTCTTATTAATTACATCCCTAATGAATTTCGTTTTCGCCATTTTTCTTAAACTCCAACTATTGGCCGAATCTTTTGCTCGGTTTTGTTGATCGGGCAAGCTCGGCAAAGGGAGCCCCGAGCTCTGCATCATAGGTGAAGGGCTTAGTGGGAAAATTCGATCTTCTAATGGAGGGTCGATGGGCGTGCCGGGATTCGACTCCCATTTGAAAGGAACTCCTAATTCAGGCGAACGGTAGAAAATACGAGAAGATTGGCCAACCGAAGCCTCCCGAGCGAGGATTCTACCGATGCAAGATTCAACGCCGTGGAATATCGAACACGGCTTTTGATCTTCGAGGCCATTTTTCGACTCCATCATGCATGCATATATGATTATATTCTCAAACTTCTTCTTTTTTTTTTTTTTTTTTNTTTTTCTTCACATGAATAGTTGTGATCTGAATGACTATTTATATGAAAAAAGATGCATGGAGGATTGTGGAAGAAAAAGATGGTTTTTCCTGCTTCAAAGCGAAGGATGAGAAGCAGGCACATGATTGTGGGATAGTATAATTTAAATTTAAATTTGGCTGATAATTGAACTAAATTTAACTATTGAAATGTTTATGTTGTTACTATTCAATTTAAATGGAGCTCAACCAACTTCACAACAAAAAAAACACTACAATTCCAACGAAAAATTCCAACGGCAAAAGAATTTCATTGAAAATTCCATTGAATATTCCAACAAACTTAATTTTATGTTGGAATAAATGTTGGATAGTTAAGGAATTCCAACAGATTTTTTCCGTTGGAATAGCTGTAGAAATTTATTTTCATAGGATTTTCCGTTAAGTATTTGCTATTCCAACGGCCGTTTTTCCAACGGATTTTTATACGTAGGAATATCCGTTGAAATAACTATTCCAACGAAAATATAGAAAATTCTAATGAAAAATTTCCGTTGGAATGTAAGAGTTTTTTTTGTAGTACTTTGTTTATAATGTAATGTTAAAGTTAGGGTCAGGTGCAATTTTTAATGAATTTTAATTGTCTAACGGTTTTCCTATGCTTTTTGCCTCCTTTGTTAAAAAAAAATAAAAAAAAAAAAA